TATTTTCTGATTGATCCACCATATAGTTTCGCGCGTGGAAGATCCTAATCTGAAGTCATGAAGAAAGAGGCTCAAAAGTAGATTTCAAAGAAATCGGGGTTCTGGCCAAAAGAAGTAACACGCAAACGAGTAGGCTAGCCTGTCGGATAGGCGAGGTCGTGTGCAGGATGTAGGACATCTTGGAAAGCTTATGTAAAGTGTCTCAAAATTTATAGACCGACCCAATACATTGTGCTCTCTGGCACTAAGGCAATAATAGGCATACAAGTAGGCAATGAGCATATGAGCACGTGTTGCGTCATGACATCAAAAGCGCTATATGATCGTTAAGTGATTGAAAGACCAATATTATGTTTACATTGTATAGGTCCACTATTAGATAACAACATGATGATCACAATATACACGATACAAATAATCTTCCGAAAGTGCCAGTATGGACTAATATCATCTGGGCGACATTGGTCATCACTACAATTCCGAGTTGAGAGGCGTATTTCGGATCTAAGCCTGAGAGTGTAGCTATGGGTGGTATGATTTTTATGAGTGAGTGTCCCACAGTTAGGAAATTTGCTCTTGCAGTTTATGAGTGAGTGTCCCACAGTTAGGAAATTTTGCCTCTTGGCAGTAGTGGAATTGTGGGAGCCACATTCGCGGAGCGTGTTGGAAAGGTAAGTGTTGCTAAGTTTCACTATACTATCCAGGTGTTTCTGAAACACAGAGGGCTCTTCAGAATCATGGTCTACGCTGAATGATACAGCGCTCCTTTATTGGTCTGATCCGTCCTAGATCTTACAATATAATTTCAAAGAGTACTTACCATGAATGATAGTGATATCCACCCGCTTGAGATTCGTAGCCTCTTTCACCCAAGAATCCTTTGGACTGCAATGGGTGACGCGACTGTAGAATACATTTTAGAATCATTGGACAGATAAGCGAGTGTACTATTTAACAGTAGTCTTGTGCACCAATTTCACTTCAATGTGCCACAGGAACTCTATTTCTACCCGCGCTGTCCAGCGATGATTTCTCTGGTTCTTTATAGGCTTCCTTCTGTTCCCCCAGAAAAAGCGGCCGATATGCTGGGTAGAGACGAATGCTGTCCTTTGTCGATACAATGAGCCAAGAAAAGGTTCCTTGTCTGGGATTGGGAATGGGCACGTTGTTGCGCTCACTTCCCTACCTTCCGCAAACTTTTGACAGGCATGGAAATATGCCTTGAATGGTGTATTAGAGCGGTAACTATTAAGAGAAGTCCTTATATTGTAGATCCTGCGACGCGCGGTAAGTCGCACTGCATCGCCGTTTCGCTGACTTCCCCAGTGGCCCCGAAAAAACTTAGGATTGGGTGTGTGGGTGTCAACACTTGGATAAGATAAGTCCTAGACTGCGATCCCTTATGGCGAGATCGTAAATAACGATGTCTGAAAGCAGTCGAAAGCACGTGAGGACGTTTCGATATACGGTTGACTTCACGAGATGTTGTATCGTAAGCAACATCTGAAGTGCGGAAATTTTCTATCCCCTTCCATCAAACAGCATAACTTATACCTCCGTTACTACTTAACTACGGTATTAATTGCTCCACCACGAAAAAGAAGATTTGTGGATTGTGAACGCCGGTGGACGGTTTAAAATTGAACTGGGTTTTTGTTAATGCCAATTCTCGATAATCAATACTTAAGAACATGGATTTAGTCTTCGGAAATTGACCGCTAAACACTTTCGAATGTGGGCAGGGCTTGAAAATTTTGGATCCAACCGGGATCAATTCCGTTTCGGCTGGCCCAATCTGCACCGTCTGGCTTGAGCATAAGAAAATAAGTATAATAAAGAAAAATAAAATAAGTAAGTACATAAATGCCTACGGATTGGTTTTGACGAGCCCAAGATAGTTTCTTTGCTATTAGCTTAAGAGGAGGTAGTAATCAAGGCATATCCCGACCAAGTATTCGATGATCGAAAGGCGTCGAGCCCTGACGCGAACGTACACCAGTCTCTCGAAAAAATCTCTTGCATGCATAATTAGTCGTCCGCAAACGTCTGTTTCACAAGTCAGCAACGTGTTTGGAACTCTGCTTGACGTCCCTTGATTCATCCCCAGCTGTCATAGTCTTCTTCTGCTTTCGAGACCTGCTAATGCATTTTGTTCCCTAGGAATTCAGTCCACCGTAGCTGATTCGTGCCCTTTTTATTTTCTAATTCCCATACATTTTCGGCCTGTACTGAAGATTCTGCGAGTGGCCTGAGTATCTGTTTTAGCAGAACCTTTCTGAAAAGCGCTGGACCGAACGTGAGCAATCCAAGATGTGGCGAAAAGAGCGCTACTAAAAATAGAGATTCTGGAAGAGTTCTGTGAGCTTTGATGATGTTCCTCTCCCTTAGTATTGAGTGTGCTGATGCGTCCACTTCTATACAGCAATTTGCAACAGGCACCTTCGCGGGTGGTGAAAGTGAGGTATGAACTCCCGCTTGAAGATATTTTTCTAAAGTGCACATCACGTTTCCCTCTAGGTGATAAGGACCACCTATAACTCAATGCACACTTACTTGGGCTTCTGCCACCGAGGCCGTGATAGCCCTAGGGCCGTATGCAACAAGCCCCGAAGGTCTTCGGGGATATATCCCCGAAGTCGTATGCAACAATCCCCGAGGCTCGTCGGGGATATATCCCCGAAGATCGTATGCAAAGCCCCGACGCTCGTGGGACATATCCCCGAAGTCGTATGCAACAAGCCCCGACGCTCGTCGGGGACATATCCCCGAAGTCGTATGCAACAAGCCCCGACGCATCGTCGGGGACAAATCCTTGAAGTCGTATGCAACAAGCTCCGACGCTCGTCAGGGATATATCCCCGAAGTCGTATGCAACAAGCCCCGACGCGTCGTCGGTGACATATCCCCGACGACCTTCGGGGCTTGTTGCATAAGGTCGTCGGGGAGACGACGTCGGGGATGAACCCCCCTAGTCGAGACTAGGGGGATTCATCCCCGAGGATACTTGAGTTACTCACAAGGGGAGGTCGTTCAGCGCTTTTTCAAAACGGTTTTTTTTTCTGTGATATAGAGGGTTGTGCCTAGAGTACAGAACTGTGGTGCATTTCCGCTGAATGTCCTTCAGAATACCAAAAATGGAGTGGAAATAGTTTCGTCAGAAACTGCAGTTTTTACGCACTCAACGTGCTGTGTCTCATTCATGGCGTGGACTACTAGCGCAATGGAAGATCTTCGTAAGCTGTGCCTCAAAAACAACGTTAAGTTTGGTCAAAATTGGAAAGTTGTCGTGATGATTTCATGCTGTGTATAAAGAGCGTGTGGAAGTTACATAAGAGAATTCGGCCAACAATCTCCAGGAGTGTGGGTGGTGTAGTGTTTAAAGGAAGCGATTACGATAGATCTCAAAGGGGTTTAGAGGGTACGTGGGGGTCTCAATAGTACGCCAGTGGCGAAAAAAGCAAAGAAATCCGTCGAAAATAGGCAAAATGGTACCCCTTTGATTGCCCTCTCATTTTCGACCTTGGATGAGCGACGGTAAAGATCGACTTTGTTCGGACGTGTTAAGCCCGATAGCCGCCATCGTGCCAACAAGCATTATGTTCTGATTCATAGGGCAATACGTGGGCAAGTCGGAAGATACAGCCGCTAGAAGGGAAATGATCATTTAAAATGAAAAGCCAACGGCAAACAGTCCATCCAGATCATCAACAAAACTAGTGGGCGTCACGTCGCAGAGGGTTGGCTTCGCGCGGGTCCTGCTCAGCAACCACAGCACCTTTCGCCGTGGGAGGACCACAGATCGCTCAGCCAAGTTATTGCTGCGTGTGGCGCAGGTTCTCCCCCATGCGACAATTCCTTATCGTAATCGCTTCCTTTAACGTTGTCGATTTCGAATGGCACGCCTGGCCGGGTTGGTAGTTCGCATCCCCGAGGCTTCAAGCTTTTTGCATTTCATGTTGACGCTTCCATATTAGCTCCAAATTGCACTAGTGGCAAAATGGATGCCTTATTTAAGATCAGAACCATAAATAACCCATGTGAGATAATTTTGCACCGAAAACAGCAAAAAAGTTGTAACGTCGAAATGGTGTCGGATAGCGGCGGCTCAAAAAAAAACAGTGCCACATTCGTGACAAGAACACAGATCTACCTCTGAAGCCAACGTTTTGGAGAAAATCGCACCTTGGATTCAACTTCGGAAATTTGCACCAGAATAATTTTCACCTTAAGTAAATCTTCAAGTACCACTCGCTCGGAGGTGAGCTCCGCGCGGAAAAGAGGCAGAAAACTATTGCACTGTGGGTGACCCTCCGACCAACATCAGCTTGGGTGTCTGCTATAGATTGTTCGGTAGGAAAATTTCTTACCTCTCGAGTGCGATCTAGAGGGGGTCATTCCCAAGAAGTTCGCCGCTGAGCCTGACGTGCTACAGAGTTTACTTATCCATCTAGCATTTTTTGGAAGTTGGGCCAAAATCTCGGTTTTCTTGGAAACGTCGACTATAAGGGTTATCAGGTGCCCTGATTGCGAACACGACATTCATTTTCAGCTCCGCCATCATTTCGGACCCCTATGGCGCTGTTCGACGGCACATTGGTGAAGTTTTTGCGTCACAACTTTCTCTCACCAGTTTTCGGTATAAGCCCACTTGTAAGGGTTTTTTGTAATCCCGATTATAATTATGACATCAATTCCTGGTAATGACGTCCTTTGGTGCGAATTTTGTGGCGTCAAATCACAGTGCAGAAATTTTGTCACCACGAGGAATCGAACCAAGGACAACTTTCTCACCCCTTTATTGGCATTCAGGGGGCCTTATAGCGGGAATGCATCACAGTGTACTCTAGGCACATCATGTCACAAATGTGACCCCATTTGGTCAAGAGGCACTACCTTTTTTGTGTTGTGAATTATGATTGTTGTTGAGACAATTTGTGTTGTTTGTATTGAATGTTCTGTTATAAGTTGTTGAGTTCAATACATAAAATTTGTTAACTCAGGTTAAAGTCAGATGGTGATCTTATCATGTTGCATGGCGATAAGCCGAGAAGGAAGAAGATATCGTCTAATCAAGTGAACCACCGAAGCGATAAGATATTGGTTATGATAAGATAGACATAGATACTTAAGCAATCCTGAGTAGGAATAAACACTTATTCCGTGCAAATCGTCTCCCCTCAACAACTGGTGCATCGGCCTACTATTATATCGAAGCTGGTACTACCACTACGAGCAGCTGCAAAGGTGAGCAGAAGTTTGATTAAGCAGTAGTCTCTTATAATATAAGACCATCCATCTCTTCCAATAACACTGGGTTCGAACAAGAACATAAGAATCTGTGCATTGGTGCATCTTTTGGAGTAAAGCATCACCTTTCTACTTAGCCTCCGTCTCTTATTCGACCTAGATCTTCGAAAAAGGGCAGGGTTCTCAAGCATGGCTACAACGCTCAGAACTAGGAAAGGGATTCTGACTAGACATATGAACACCCTTTCAAAAATACTAGATAAGCATGCATCGTTAATTGAGAATGTGGAAGCCCAAGGTCAAGAGGGAGAGGGGACATCGGAGGAAAGGATTGCGCAGATCCACAGTGCACAAGTAGAGATTAAGAGTCGTCAAAATGTATTTGAAACAGCACTTTTTGGCCTCACAGAAGCGGTAGAAATCTCAGAAATCCCCTCACAGAAGAGGAGGAAAGCAAGTTACTAAGACATGTCACCAACGCTCAGGATATCATTGCTAAAAGTGAAGACTTACGCATGAAATTAGAAATCATTAAAGAACAGCTATCCATGGGAGAGCGCATTTGTGCTGGTAGATCTAGAACAGCTCCATCAAGAAATTCTACTGTAGGAACAGAACTCCCACCACTTCCGCTGCCAAAATTCAGTGGCAAAGCATGGCAATGGGACAGCTTCTGGGAGTTATTTGACGCCACAGTGCATTCACTTCCCATTTCAAACCTTCAAAAATTCAGTTATCTTTTGAAATCGCTGAAGGGGGAAGCACGCGAATCCATTTTACGCTTTCAAGTTACCTCGGCAAATTACACCATGGCGGTAACGCATTTGAGAGAGAAATATGGAAATGTTCAAGATATAGTTACAAGTCTGCATGAACAGCTGGAACGATACAGCGCAAAAAGCGCGCAATTAAAGGATCAGCGCAAACTCTTCGATCAACTTTTGGCAACCACAACGCAGTTAGAGAGCAAGGGCGAGAATTTGGAAAGCCCGTGGTTACTGTCAAAACTATTGTCGAAGTTCTCAGAGGGGATTCAGAGAAGAACCCTCAGAGAAAAGGTTTCTTTACCAAATGGAGAAACATGGACAATGAAAAAGCTTATGACAGTATTGGATAAAGTCATAAAACAAGAAGAGGAAATTGAGCAGTGCATGCCACAGAAGGAAAATTTCCTGATGAAATAGAACCATCAAAAAGGCAAACAGCAATAGGCAGAAAGCGCACGCCATTCTGCTTCTACTGTGACAGTCAAGAGCACTGGTCCACAGAATGCTCAAGAATACCCGATCCAAAAGCACGTTTGGAACATCTCAAAAGATCCAATCGGTGTATAGGATGTGGGTCTAAAAGGCACGCTTTTGCGGAATGCAAAAGCAGAGGTTGTACAAGATGTGGCAAAAAACACCACACGTCAACATGTTTCAAAACCGTTCGAACGTAGAATGTGCAACACCTCAAAAACCAATGAATGTTAGGAAAGACAGCCAAAAGAAAACAACACAGATACAGCATAATCTTGCAATATGCGAAGAAGAAGATGCAGGAAACGTAAATGCGAACCTAACGGTGATGAAAGTTGAAAACACCACAAAAAACAAGCCTGATAATTCATTCCTACTCACAGGAAATCTAAATACAGTGCATCCAGGCACACAACAACCGATGAAATTACACGTACTTCTAGATACTGGTGCAGATCGCTCCTTTATTGATGTGGATCTTGCAGAAGAACTTCAGTTACCCAAACATAATGTGGTTGCAATGAAATTATGTACATTTGGGGAAAAACAACCTAAAGAAATACGATGCATCGAAACAGATATAAAAGTTTGGGACTCCACAGGATTGGAACACAATCTGCGCGTCTATACGCACGAAAACTTCTCAAAGAACTATCGCACAAGACGTCTTGGCGAAGAAGACCTCCAATATATCAGCGACAACAATCTGGTTCTGAGTGCTCCGAATGGAACGAACATTAAACCTCCACAAATACTCATCGGATGCGACCATCTATGGGAATTCATAGAGTTCGAGAAGCAGAGCTTCATTCTACCATCCGGTCTCATCCTAGTACCAACCCGGCTGGGATACATGGTTTCTGGGAAACAGATTTCACATAAAGGTCGAAAGCACGCAATTGACTCTTCATTTCAGATGATCGAATCGTGGCAACAGAATTAACCAATGGGAGCATCACTGGGCGATACAACCACAAAAGATAGAAAAGGAGTTTTGTGGACCCGAAAAAGAAGAAAAAGCTCTCATCAATGCCCAGGTCCTGGAAGACTTCAATAATTCAATCGAAAAGAAAGAAAAAGGTTATGTAGTTCGACTGCCGCTCAAGAAAGATCATGAACGATTACCAGATAACAGAGCTCTCGCATACCATCGCCTCAAGAGCATTTTACATAAGTACAAAGATGAACCTCAAATCCTTCAACAATACCATGAAGTCTTCCAAGAACAGCTGAAGAAAAATATTCTTGAGATAGTAAATGAAAGCCAGGAAAAGGCGTGCAAGCAAAAACATTATCTCCCTCATCAGCCCGTCATAACTCCACAGAAAGACACAACCAAATTTAGAGTAGTCTTCGATGCATCTGCGCATTACAAAGATTGTCCTTCACTCAACGACATCGTGCACCAGGGACCCACTATGCTGCCCAAACTATTCGGAATACTTCTCCGATTTCGCACAGGAAAATATGTTCTTACCTCAGATGTCGAAAAGGCATTTCTCCAAGTGCATTTGCATGAAGACGATAGGGATTTCACAAGATGCCTATGGCTCAAAGACATGAGGAAACCACTCAGTGAGGAAAACTTGAGAGTGTTTAGATTTACTAGAGTCACATTCGGCATCAATGCATCACCATTCTTATTGAGTGCAACAATATTATACCACCTAAATCACTACGTTAAAAACAGAAGATTGGCAGAAGAAATTGCATTAAATCTATGTGTGGACAATCTATTCGTGAATGCTGAATCGGTAGCCGAAGGAATCCAGAAATATAAGGATTTGAAAGCAATTTTCAACGGGCTTCAAATGAATCTACGAGCCTTCATGTCCAATAATAGCGAGATTACAAATGCAATCAGAACTGAAGATCAGTCGACAAATCATTCACTTAAAATACTTGGATTACAATGGAATCCGAGAACTGACGAATTCGCTATCGACGTGAAAATCAAACCGAATGAGTTCATCAGCAAGAGGACAGTCGCTAACAGATTGCATCAGTATATGATCCCTTCGGATGGCTCATCCCACTTCTTGTGAAAGCAAAACACTTCCAACAAAGACTATGGAAGGAAAAATATGCATGGGATGAACCATTGGACGAAAGTCTGCAAGAAGAGTGGCGCAATATTGTCAGGAGCATGAACGCATTTGACAGAATATTCCCAGAAGGATTACCAAAAGAAAACTAACGCACTAATCACTTACTGTGATGCTAGCAAGTTAGCCATGACGGGTGTGCACATATTTGGCAACGCACAATGACTCCAATTTTTTGATAGCAAAATCAAAATCTGCAGACTACAAACATCCAATTACAGTACCGAAAATGGAAATGAACGCAGTCGCAATGGAGCACGGCTGACCATGAACACCTACTTAAGTCTGAAAACTGCGATCCAGGTTACTAAGGTCATTCTCCTATCCGATTCGGAAATCGTCTCTGAACTGGATAAAAAAGTTCCCTCCGAACGTCAAGGCACAGGACATTATGTCAAAAACCGAGTGAAGGAAGTGCACAGTATAGTAAAAAGACTACAAAGAATGAACATTAGTCGTCCAGTTCGGCTACATCGACACGAAACAAAACTCCGCGGACATAGGAACACGAGGAGCATCAGCAGAGGAGCTTGGTGTCTCACATAATGGTGGAAAGCCTACTCAATCTGTAAGCATAACTGAAAGCAGCATTGGTTCATCACTGTTCAATATTACACCACAAGATAACAACCACGAAGAAAAGGAATTGGAAAAAACCTTCATGAATGCATTAACAACACGGCGACAGAAAAAAATTAAGGACCTAATGGACTTATCTCGATACAGCTGTAAAAGGAAAAGCCTTGAGAGTCCTGGCATATGCCATAATGTTCCTCCGAAACACCATAGCCTCATTAAGGGACCCGCTAAGAAACAAACTACAAGAACATCTGACTCTACCTCCACGCACGACCACAAGAGAAGTATCTCACCGCTACCGATATTAAACAATCTCATGATGCACTGTCAGAAACCCCAAAAAAGTTCATTTACGACAACAAGATAAAAAGGACTTGTTGAGGAACTCAACTTAATGAGGACAAAGACCACTTTATTAGAGCACATGGGCGTTCTCAACAAATCTGACTTGGATGAAGAACGAAAAACCCTATTCTCGCGTTCTGCCCCACACAGAATTAGCTCGTCTCATAATTAAGAAGCGCATGGAAACTATCATAAAAATGTGGGCCACACAATAGCTGAATGTAAGCACAGTATTCAATGATCCTCACGCTCTCGGGAATCAAGTTGGAAAAAGCTCAATCATGTGGTACCTGTCATAAGAATGAACAAATTGCCCTACACAGTATCCGGAGCAGGCAGATCTCCAAAACACCGCGCTACAAAATCGTGGCAGCATAACACGACCAATTCAACATACGGGACTCGACTACTTGCGGCACCTATTTCCCGTTTACGGGAGAAAACTATGGGCTACACGGAAGTTCATGGGTGGCTTGTTCACGTGTTCAGTCAACCAAGATAGTTCACGTTGGAAGTCGTATCGCTGGCACAACGGAAAAGTTCCTAAGACGCATCCGCCGCTTTTCCAGCGCGAACGAGGAAAACCACAGTAGTGATATGCGATTAACGCCTCTACATTGCATTCTCGGAAAGTCAAATTATAAATTGATGATCTTAAAAGTGATTCGAACAAACTCCAACTTAATAAGAAATACACGCAAGAAATCGAGTAAGCCAGTTTGATCCCGAATGGAAAACAATATCATTCCACATTCACCTGTGGAAAGGGGGTTTTCTAGCGAGCGCCTCATCAAGATCAGTCAAGCAAGCGCTGTGGTATGAAAGCGAGTAGGAAAAGGATACTCACCAAGGGAACAATTACAAACCTCTCATAGAGGTTAGAAAGTTGCATCAAATAGCAGACCTCTCACATTACCAAGAAAGTCATTTTGATGACGTTGTTACGCCCCATCCGACCCATCGATTTCATTCAACAAGAAATAGACATCGACATGTCTCTCAAGATCAGCGAGGAGGAACGCGAAGACCGCTCTCCTCCCTCCATGCGGAGGCCTACAACTTGAAAACAAGAGCACAAGGCCCAAAAAGCGTTGCAGTCCTCTTACGACGTAACGGACGATTTTGGGAAAGATGGAAAACGCAGTATCTAATCAGCCTCCGAGTACAACACCGTCAAACGTAATCAACAAATAACGACGCGAGCATCGAAAAAAGCAGAACAAGAGAAGTTGGCTCCTAGGAGGATGCCTCTGCATTGAAAGGACTCACTGGAAGCGTTGCTCAATATCATGAAGGCCGTGAATAAGAGAGTCAAGATGGAGAAGTAGAGAAGCAGAATTAGGTGTAATGGAAAAAACTGATGAAATCTATCAACCAGCTAGTACCTCTAGAAATTCAAATGAATCTAACAGCAGCTCGAATACGATCTCCAGAAAGTCGGAAAAATGAACAACAGTCATCAAAGAAACGCATAATACTACATCCAAAGTACAATTTACGTCCGAGGAAACCGCATAGTCAGAATACGGAAGTTTATAGCAATGCGCATAGCATCAAAACAACAGAAACCGCTTCAACATGACCACTATCACTTTACATGAAAATGGCTCTCACGCTGACAATTTTTATGGTAGTGAACGGGAATAATCTCAACGTAAAAATGGATAGAGCAAATGTCATGAGTTATCGAAATTTTGTGCATTATATTTCTGTGCATCGACTCAGTGCATATAACATGAATCTCTGTGCATTATATTTCAGAAGAATGTCAACGAGACAATCCACTGACGAGTTTACCAAAAAACGACAAGAAGAAGAACAACGTGATAGATACTATTAGATATATGAGAAGACGCATCAGGCTGGCCCCTAACTTCCCTTCAGAAGAAGAGATACGAAGAAAAATCCGAAAAATTTTGGGGAGCATTATCCAGTTGATTAAGTCTAACGACCTTCCCGAATCCTTTGCCGACCTGCGAGGTCACAGACCACAATTTTTCGCCAAAATGGAGGCCACGCTCTACAGATGTCGTCTAGAAAAGGTGGAGATGGAAGTTCGTCATATAATCGAGAAACTACGCTGTAACACTGAAGGTCTCTCCATGGGCTATGAGCTATATGATCTACTCGTCGCTGCTGACAACACATTAATCAGCTCAAGAGACAAATTCTTCAACGAACAATTGGACGGAGTTTCGCTCGATCCTACATTCACTGCGGAATTCATTCGAAAGGAGCTCGAGTTTCTCGAAGACTTCCATCGAGATATAGAAACCGAGATCAAGGAAGCAGGAATGTGATCATACCCACTTCTCAGATCAAATGTAGTCTTAAGCCTCCATTTGGTAAAATATATTGTAGTCTTGACAAATCGTCAAACTTCACATATTTTTTGTTATATATCTATTCTACGAGGAGAGATCTAAAACCAGTCTAAATTCCTTACTCTCTGCACACTGAGAGGGTGGATTACAATATAGTGATAACGCGGAACTTCTTTCACCGCACCATTGGCCACCAATTCTGAAATGGTCTCATGAACAAATTCTGCATGCTCCAGCGCTGAATTACATTTACCAACTTCAAGTGGGGGCTCGAGAGCCTCATCCAAAGAAATCGTGTAGCCACTGACAACGATTTCGAAGCGAATTAATTAGTGTAAAATAACACAAGTAACCACCGAAGGAGCCACGCGGTACGCAATACTTTATTAATCGACCGATTGAATCTCCCAATCAGTACAATCTGAAATTGCCCTCTTCGAGCACAGTAATAACAGTATAGTTATACAGTCGATAAATAGAACTATACTACGGCTTGGGCAGGGTCAACCATCCGTTGGACAAAGTCCAACGGGGTTCCTATTTTGCCGACCGCAGAGAGGGGGGTCGTATTCGCAGGAGTCATCGTCGCAATACTCCACCTATCAACCACGAACGAGTGCATGGCGCACCTCAGAGCAGAAGATACTGCGGAAGTCCATATTTCACTGTTTAACACAAATATGCTCTCGAGGAAAACCAATGTTATCAAACTAGACCTGACTTAGTAAAAAAAGTGACCAATAGGGTAGATTGACTATTAAGGGCTTTCAAAAATGTTTGGAAATAAATTGAAGTATCCACAACTTCCTAAAAAGCGTTTAGTATCTGCAATGGAGCGCAATACTTGGGCGATATTATATTATCATTATTCCACATGAAATTGGGTGTGAAGGGATGTGTGAAAGCTTGAGTGTCGAAAACTTGTGTTATCAGGGGAGTAGCTACGGAAACTCATGGAAAAGAAAGCGGTCCAACCGGGCGATTTTTTGACTCCTTCAGTTTTGGAAAGAGCTAAAGTATTCGTCAAAAAGCTCAAACCTTCTAGTTTAACCCAGGGGAACGAGAAGTGCAAAAGCTTTCTTCTGGAGAAATATAGTCATTGAAAGCCAAAAAACCCGGTCTTGAAAAAAACGGTCCAACGGGGCGATTTCTTGAAGGAACGAGATTATGCAAAACCACAAGTACTTTTCAGGAAGAAAATAATCTGCGCTTTCAGAATTTCTATATGACCTCTCATAATTTCATGTTTAAAGAAAATTACAACCTTTCAAATTAAGAAGTGCGCAATTCTGTAAATTTCTGTTTCGCTGCCCCATAACTAACACATTGACGGTACTGCACAGTGACACGGTAGTGTGCTGCAAGCAGCAGTCTCGCAGATTACAACTCCACTTCGAGTTCTGAAAAATACTGACCTTAGCCTGAAATACATTCATTTGAAAATTAGTAGTCCGCCTCGATGTATCCCGCGCCGGCACGAGGGAAGATTGTGCGCGCCAATGCAAACGCGACGCTACCGTGCTCTATCCGTTGTAAAACTCGAAATAGTAGTGCGAAGTAGTACGCAAGCACACTACACAAGTTACGAAGTGTACAGTACACAACGTAAGTTTTTTTGGGGGGGGGGTTCGGGTTTCGAGACTCGCCAAAAGGAGAGGGGTCGTAAAATTTTTGGAATTGGTCCAATGTGACGGTTGACCCACTTCTGGGTAATTGAAAATTTCACGTCGGATTGAAGAACGAGCCGGAATGAATGTTTACAACTGCCTACGATCGGCCAGAATGAGTAGACTGCGCTACAAACCCCAGCAGAAAGCGGAGCGATGTACTACGGATTCACTGAACGAATCATCTGCTACACATAAAGCATTTGTATGAGGGCACAGAATAACACTCCTAAGAATCAGGGAAATCTTTCTCCGCTTTCGGACACGGTATCTCTCACAGCATTTCGCATTAGCGACTACGCTTTATCCACAACAAATTTCTTCCTCAGAGCCACGACCTACAGTAATCCCGCAGCTTCAGCCAAACCCTAAAGACCTTGGTCTTTTCGTGGAAAAGTGGTTTTCCTAAGGAAAACTTGCGGTTTAAGACGTCGTCGCAACGTCACTCCCCTCTCCTCGCTGTCGTCCTCTCGTTCCTCCAGGTCGTTCAGTCACCATGTCGTTTCATCTCGAGGAGTTCTTCGCCGTCGACGACTTGAGGGCAGGAACCGCTGTAGTGCCTTCCAGTGGCACCGCAAAAACTGCAGGTAATCGCGCTGTCTATGCCGTATAAGGTTTCTTCAATACGTCTAAAGGGGAACCGCTCAAACTCCTGCAACATGCCAGAAAGAAGGACCGTTATCTAACTTTATTTAGCCATAAAGGCGAATTAGCGCAACCGTGAGACTGCTTATTTTTTCCTTTGAGGTGTTTCTAATGGTTCTATTGAAAGGGCATGAACTTAAGTATGCAGAGTCCAAAATTGAAGCCATCTGCCTTCGTTCCCCACACTGGTAACTTGTTTGGCCTTCCTAGTCGGATCACACCGACCTGTGAGTAGATGCCCTAAGCTAGTGGGCAACAGACTGAGACCAGAGGGTAACCGAATCTGCGGTAGTCACGAATAAGAGCCCATAGTTGGTCGCAATCTAGTAACACTTGAGGTTTTGTTACGATGGTCTGTACGTTGATATTAACCACCTGCGTCGGGAGTATGGAAATTTTTCCTAAATTTTTCGTAATTTTTCCTTGTGGGAGGATCCATTGTAGTCGCTCGCCCCGTCGGCAGGAAAACTCTAAATTCCGCGTTTTCTTGCACGGACTGTAAGTCGCAAACTTCATGCCTTGTTGAACAAGAGTCA